AAAAAAAAAAAAAAAAAAAAAAGTTGTATAAGTGTGTATAAAAAGAGTTGACAATGTTCAATAAGATGATATTTTAAATTTTTCTATTTGTTTCAAATTCATCTACAAACCAAAATGCAACATGGAAAATCTTAAAATGGTTTTAAATCACACATTGAAATATACAGTAAATTTTCAGAGCCTAGGAGATCAGTAGTAAACCGAAAGCCCCACAGTGAAGAGTTTTAAAATGAACAATGGGAGAGACTCAAAGCACACCATTTTAAATGTAGCTAATCCGTCGTTTTCTTCTTTGCCTAGAAATGATTTCCCTCTCATTCTAAATAAGCAGCGCGTGTTCTATCTCTGTCCTACAAGATGTACTTAAAGGTCATAAACTCAGTCTGCAACACTGAGATGAACTGATGATAAAAGTTCCAATCAACAATTAAATTTTGAACGTTTTGAAAAAACTTCCCGGTGAAGTGCTAATTCACACGCCAGCAACTACGTTGGTGCTGAGAGGGAGAAACACTCATCCTCATCCTTCATGGAAAGAGAAAGGGAAGGAGCGGGAGAAAAGGGAGCCAAGGGGATGCAAAACGACACAGCACTGCTTGTGTCAACAAATGAAAGCCTAGTTTCAAACTTCTGAAAATCCCATTTTCCCTTAGCGAATATCAACACATGTCAAAGTATAAGGCAATCATCCGTGTTCTGAAGCAGAACAAGGTGGAGAGAAAAGGAACACACTTTTTTTTTCTTGTACTGAACTCACAAACATTCAAAATTCATGAATCCCCTCCCACCCCCAAACTCCGGGCGTTGTATCATTTCCAGGATGAATCTGACAGAAACCACCGGGCTCGTCTCGCACTCGGCGCGGAACTTTCCTGAGTCTTCCCCGCGCTCCCCCCGCGCGGTCCCGAGTACCCGCGGTTTCGGGGGCTCGCACGGGCTCGCGCCGAGCTCCTGGGAGGCGTCCTCGGGGCGTGAAGGGGACCCGGGGGGTCTGGAGGACTGGGACCGCAGCTCCCGTCGCGGCCGGGGCGGGCGGTCTGGACCCCGGGAGGTGCCTGCGGCGGCGGCGGTGGGGCCGGTTCCCGCGCAGCAGCCGAGCCCGCCGCGTCCCTTCGCCGCCCGAGCCCTCAGCCCCGGCGCCGGGAGGGTCCCCTCAGCCCTCCCGACTCAGCCCCGGCGCCCGGAGGGTCCCCTCAGCCCTCCGCCCTCAGCCCCGGCGCGGCGCCCGGAGGGTCCCCTCAGCCCTCCCCCTTCAGCCCCG